GGGGGGTGGAGTGGGGAGAGCGGGAAGCAGTGCTGTGGGGAGCAGGGCGGGAGGCCGTGGCGGGGTCCACAGCCGGGCTGCTTGGCCAGAGAGATGCCGCTTGGGTTTAGGGGCAGGGGGGGGGGGTTAGATACCAATGTGTGTTTGGTCCAAGGAGGAAATGGTGGGGTCAGAACTTGATTTGACAGCGTTTTGACAGCGTGTGAGATAATCTGAGGGATGAACGGGAATTTGAACAGCTGAAACGCGGAGAACGCTGACGAGCAGTGGAACGGCCCCGTGTCGTTAGCGGCAGCGCTTCTCCGCGCTGCGCGAGCAGAGGCCGCAGGCTGCTTGCGCTCGTTAACCGGTGGTTGCTCCGCAGGCGCAGTGGTCTACGGGGAGCCCATCACCGCCAGCCTGGGCGCCGACGGGTCGCACTACTGGAGCAAGAACTGGGCCAAAGCCGCAGCCTTCGTCACGTCCCCCCCCATCAGCCCGGACCCCACCACGCCCGACCACCTCGGCTCCCTGCTGTCCTGGTGAGTTCCGTGTCGGCGGGGATGGCTGAGCGCGTCGGTCGCGTTGGCATCCCCCGGCGTTGGTCCCAGTGCCGTTTGTGGGAGCGGCATTGCGGGGCCGGCAGCCCCCAAGCTCCCCGGTCACATCCTTGCCCAGCCCAGGCTCAGTATTTATGAAGGTTTTCTGACAAATAGGCAGGCTGGCCACGCATGGGTGACTGCCTTCATTCCGCACTTGGCTTGTTTACATAGGACCAGCACCATTTCCACGGATTAAACAAATCACAGTGAGAAGGAGACATTTATAATCCGCCAACGAGGCCACAGGCAGTTAAAAAATGTGTGCGTGTGTGTGTGTATGCTGTGAGAAAGAAAAATGAATGTTCGTGTCCAGGGAGCCGACCTTCTTCTTGGAGGGTAACTCAAGGGGTATAGATATAAATATAGGTTGTATATAACATCTTGCGCGCGAGCCCAAAGTGCGTATTTAATAATTATCTGTTATACCCGGTTATTGTGCACAAACGCATAGCATCAGTTTGCACCTTACGCTGTCCTTCCACCCGGAGCCCCCTCCTCGCGCTCCCAGGAGCGGCTGCACGACCCTCTGGCCGCACACAAAGCGACGCGCACGCATCGCCACGCAGAAGGGCTCGGCTCGGTCGGCAGCGGCCCCAGCACACTCCCAGCCCACCCAGTGGCACCAGTCCGTAGAGCTCTCCGCATTAACTGCGGCTCGGCACGGGTGGCATTAGACAGATCACCTCCAGAAGTAATGCAGAAAGAGGTTTTGAAATGGGGTGAGAGATGTTTATGGACCCAGGTAATCGTGAGAAAATTGCGCTCAATATATATTTTAAAGAAGAAATAAAGATTATCTTAGAATTCCCTGAAATGTGATTTTTTTCTTAGCAGGATAAGCAGTTGTTAACGAGAAAGGTTTCTCATGTCAGTTACCTTGCGTAGCGTGTGAGGGCCCCTCCGCACGTTCTGTGCCAAGCTCTTTCCAGTGGTGCCCAGCGACAGGACAAGGGGCAATGGGCACAAACTGAAGCAGAGGAAGTTCTGTCTGAACGTGAGGAAGAACTTCTTCCCTCTGAGGGTGACGGAGCCCTGGCCCAGGCTGCCCAGGGAGGTTGTGGAGTCTCCTTCTCTGGAGATATTCAAGATCCGCCTGGACAAGGTCCTGTGCAGCCTGCTGTAGGTGACCCTGCTTCGGCAGGAGGGTTGGACTGGGTGACCCACAGAGGTCCCTTCCAACCCCTACTATTCTGTGATTCTGTGATTCTGTGCTCCCCGAGAAGCGGCAGCGCGGTACCCGCGCAGTTCGGGCAGGCAGAGCTCTGCCCCGGGTCTGGGGCCGTGCTGCCGGGCTCGTCGCACGCTC